GTTCTTCGGCTCGTTCAAGATCATCTTCGGCACGGTCTACAATTGGGGGCTGTGGCAGTCCGGCCTGGCATTTGCGGGCATCACGGCGGGGATGGTTGCTGCGGTGGTTGCTGATCCTTGGTATGAGTCCTTGCCCTATTCCCAAGTGAGTGGTCTGATGCCTTTGGTGGTAGGTGTCGCAGGTTGTATCTTCGGATGAACATCCTGCAGCAAATTGACGAGACGGACCCCGAGCGACGACTGCCACCGGCGGTGATTGGGGCGCCGCTGTTAACGGTGGGGTTGTTCTGGTTCGCTTGGACGGCGTGCGTTTCCCTGTCCCTTGTCCTCTTTCTTTTGTTTGTTGCAAGTGGTATAACAGAGCAACCGTTGACTATGTAGTAGACTGCCTTCGGTGCATTGGGCGGTGCCCATCATTGGGAGCTCGTTGTTTGGAGCAGGGTAAAGTATCCCTCGAGCCTTATCCGAGGTTCTTCTAGTGGTGTAAAATCAGGGCTCCGCTGACAACCTTTATGCATACAGGATGATCCTGGTCTACGCGGGCGTCTTTACCTTCCTGGTGGATGCGTATCCCGTGTATGCTGCCAGTGCCCTGGGGGCCAACAGCTTCACGCGTAGCACCTTTGCGGCTGCGTTTCCTTTGTTCGGGTATCCGAGTAAGCTTGCCAATGATCCACAACGCTGCGCTCTTTAAGAAGCTAACAAGCGACCAGTGTACCAGACGCTGGGCAACCAGTGGGCGACCTCCTTGCTAGCGTTTCTGAGTCTGGTGATGGCTCCATTTCCGTGAGTGGCATGCGCTGCAGCTGGTGTCCGGGGGCTGACTTTGGTGATGGCAGGTATATCTTCTTCCGATACGGGAAGAGAATCCGACGGAAGAGTCGGGTTGCCACGCGGAAGTAAGGGCTACAGCGGTAGGAGTTAAGCTACTAGTATGGACCGCTTCCAGTGAGGGTTTGGGGTCATCAATATAGAAGATAAAGACAATTCTCAATTCATGACTTAGCATTATTCCGAGTGCTGGACATCACATACATCTCCTCGAGCACTTCAACATAAACTCCTCCGTGATCAATTGATCAGGGTCGCCGTCACGTTGGCGTGGAAATCCCGACTACTGAACCCCGCGTGGAAGGTAAACCGTCCCGAGGGAATGCGCCAGTCCTGCGCCACCACGTCCCAGTAGCTGACATCACGCCGCGCGAGATCAAACGTGACCGTCCTGGTCTGTCCCGCGGGCACCCAGATCTTGTCGAATCCACGCAGCTGGCTCGGGGGAGTCCCCGCGGGCGCCGAGTCGGGGAACCCCACGTACAGCTGCGGGATAGCATGGCCGTCCACGCCGCCGGTGTTGCTCACCTGGGCGCTCAGGGTGTACACCGTCTCCCAGAGGGCGGGGTTTCCACCCGGCTGAACGGGCAGGGCTGCCGGCAGGGCCGTGAGGTTGGTTCTGGGCGTCGTGGTGTGCAACGCGCTCAGGGTGAAGGTGGTGTAGCTGAGACCAAAGCCGAACTCGTAGCGCACAGGGATGTCGTGGGCGTCGAAGTAGCGGTATCCGACCTCCAGCCCTTCATCGAACCAGCTCTGCCAGTCGTAGGTTCCGTTGGTCTGCACCGCGGTGGTGACGGGAGCGTTGTAGTCCGAGGCGTTGTAGGCGATCACGTAGGGCAACTTGGCCGAAGGGTTCACCTCGCCGTACAGGAGGTCGACGAGGGAATTGCCTGACTCTTCGCCGGGGTAGTGCGCCGCCAGGATGGCCGTCACGTTGGGGTGATCGGCGAAGGGCAGCAGGTTGATGCCCGCCGAGTGGGTGACCACCACCGTGTTGTTGCAGTCGCGCGCCACGGCCTCCACCACCGCAGGCCCATCCCAGTCCAGCTCCAGCGAGCTCCGGTCCTCGTTCTCCTGCGACCAGCTCTTCAGGAACACCAGACACACGTCCGGCTGCTGCGGGTTCCACAGCGAGGCTAGCCCCGAGGTGGTGATCAGGGTGTTGTTCAGCCACGACTGCACCAGCGCCCCGTCCTGCCGCGCCCGCGCCGTGATCGCCTCCAGCGGCGTCGACAGGAAGCTGAACCGACAGGTGCCCGACCCGCCGGCGTTGGCCAGCGTTCCGTACTCGAAGTCGTTCTGGTTCGATGCTCCCTGCGTCATGGGCCCGGCGTCGTTGCCAACAATCACGATGTTCCGCGGCTTGCGCAGCGGCAGGGCGTTCCGCTCGTTTTTCAACAGCACGGTCGAGGCCGCGCCATGTGCACGGATGAGTTGGCTGTGGTTGCCGCGCACGTCGCGGTTCTGCTCGCCTGTGAACTGCCAGTCGTACAGCCAGGTGTCCGGGGGCGAGTCGATGTTCAGCGGGCCGACGGAGGCATCGACGCTGGGGTAGGCGGGATCGTCCTGGCCCAGCCAGAAGTACGGAGTCATGATGCGCACGATCATGTCATCCAGGCGAGGGGTGGCGACAGAGCCATTGCGTACCGCCGCGGTCAGGTTCTGGCCGAAGTAGGAGCCCTCGGTCCACAGCTCGCCGTAGACGGTGAATCCGCCGGGCATGGTCATGTCCATGCCGCTCTCGATGGAGGCGACACCACTGTGGGTGGCGCCCCAGTCGGACATGACGTAGCCCTGGAAGCCCAGCTCGGTCTTGAGCAGGTGGTTCAGGGCGTATGAGTTCTGGCAGGCGTGCGACCCATTGATGCGGTTGTAGGAGCACATGACGCTGGCGACGCGGGCGCGCAGGGCGTTGGCGAACGGCCACATGTAGATCTCGTGCATCGTGCGGTCATCCAGGTTGGAGGAGACCGAATCCTGGATGTAGGTCGTCGCGTTCGCGTTGGGGGCGTAAGTCGGGTTGCGCTGGGTTTCCTGCTCGTAGGCGACCCAGTGCTTGGCGTTGGCCTGCACGCCTTCGTCCTGAATGCCCCGGATCGTCTCCTCCATGCACACCCCGGTCAGGTACGGGTCGGCGGCGAACCCTTCCCAGGTGCGTCCGTTGTACGCACTGCGCCCCAAGGGGCCGCCGATGGGGCCCAGCACCACGTGCGTCCCCTTGGCCTTGTGCTCCTGAGCGATTGCCTGTCCGCGCGTGTACAGCAGGTCGCGGTCCCAGCTGGCGGCCGCGGAGACCCCACTGACGAAGACGCTCGAGTAGTCGCCCTGCTGCAGGCACTGTGGTCCGTTCTGCAGACAGAGTCCGGTGAAGTTGAGGCGTGGGATGGGCAGCACGTTGCCGACGCAAGGGCCCGGTTGGCCGGTGGCCATCCAGGTCTTCTCCTCCAGAGTCAGTTGGGAGACCCAGTGTTTGGCTTTGGCTAGCGCCTGATCCCATCCGCCAACGCCGGTGATGTTGGCTGGGCGTGGGGAGAGTCCGTTAGCGGGGAAAGAGCTGTAGAAGCAGAGGGGCTACTGGGTTCAAGGCCAGAGAGGACCTACGGGAAGGATAGACCGCCGGGGAAGAGCCGTAGGGTGTCAGAATGGTGGTATTGAGCGGCTGCACATGACTGAAGGGCTTGCCAGAATGGTTGATAGGGGCCTGGCAAGTGCTTGCATAGACTGAGGGAGCCAGCAGCGCCCCTGAGAGGAAGAAGGCGTAGTCGCTTGAGACCTTCATCGCAGTCAGATGGGCCTTGACTGGAGGAACTGAGGTCGCTGTTGAGGACTGGATTCAAATGCAATGAGACGTCCACGGGACCCTCTATTTATTTACCTCGAAGTATGCTGTGACACAAGCGGGAAACACGGCGTAGCGATGTTGCATTGATGGATCGCATCATTAGCATCATCATCTCCATTAGGGCTCGGGATGAAGTCCAAAGCCGGGGATCGGCCTCGTGCCGAGTCCTCGACCCCGACCAACCCCAACGCTCCACAAATCCCACCCGTGGGGGTTACATGCAGGTGCGGGGACTGTCGATGACTCAATGGCCTCATATCTCGTCTCCACTTTCCATGTACTCAGTATAATTGATCATTTGCCGAAGTTTTGCCGAGAGATATCTCCCTGGCGCGGTCGATGACGTAGGCGGGTTAATTGTTTAGTGGGTTTTACCGGTACGCAATATTGCTAGCGAAACTGGACCTGGACCCCGTTCAAGTGATGGTTGGAAATACCGTGAATACCGGATATCCTGTGAGTCCTGTGAATACTGTACATTCTTAAGGAGTTACCATAACTTAGCAAGTAAGTCGGATGGTGGCCGGCTACGGGCTCGGTCCGATAACCGGAAGGGTTGTTGCTGATTGCGGCAATCCCCGCTTTCTTCCCCCTCGTGTGAATTGCCGCTTTCATGTAGAAAAAAGCCTTCAACTGATTTCCGACAAGCCTCATGAGAAGAAGGAGTGAACCAGAGAGTGCTATGTTTATCTTCCGAGCCCAGACATCAAGGCACCACACGTACACGATGTTCACGATGTTTATAATAACATGTAACAGATGTAATTCATTTGTAATTTCTTTCTTTATTTATTTATTTATTTTTTCTTTTCTTTTCACATTTTCTGGTTGGCCGAAATCGATTCGCGTGGCCTGTCCAAGAGGCCACTGGGTAATAAGATAATGAGTGAATGAATGAGGATTTGTCCTCCTAAGAAGGCCCTCCAGAGGGTGAGGGTACAACACTCACCGTAATTTCACCTTCCTGTTGTCTTCTACACTCGGCCTTCGCTTTCCGGAGAAGTAGTTTGTCGGCCACCCGGTACTTATCACTAGGAAAGAAGTATTGATCGTCTGCACTACAGTAAACTTCACTAAGCTGAGTCCCTTGTATACAGTCTACTGCAATCTTCAACATCTGGTAACCAATAAGCTTCGGCCCTGGCTTGTTGATGGCGACGGTGAGTGCATCCTTTCGGCCAACGCTGGGGTGATGTTCTCGTTCTCCCGTGGCAGAGAAACTGCTGACGATCTTAGTACCAGTCACCATGTACAATGTACAGCTGCCGCCGTTTTGCTCCAGCAGTGCTTGAATAGCAGGTTCCGTCAGGCGGGCCTGTAAGGTGCTCTAGCTGGGCATGCCGGCGAGTTGGTAGTCCACAATACTGTCGATGCGGATATATGTTCTCCAGATCACTAATCCCTCATGTACAAGAGTCCCCAGGAGGACCTCCTCCAACCCAGGTACAAGGCTGAACTTCCGTGAAACTTGAGCATCCCAAAGTATCTCCATTGATGGACTCCTCCAGACTTCTGGATATTGCGCCTCAAGCTCAGCGGTTGTGACCGTCGTAAGCGGCAGATGGGGCTCGCTAGGATTCACGAAGATAATACCCAAGCGAATTAGACCGTCGGGAGCGTGATCGAGGCCCGGGACCAGCGCCCAGCTGTTAGGTATCCCCTCCATGATGGATGGGATCTGGGTTGGTCTGTGGTGAGGTTGGTGAGGGTTTTGACCCGGGGGTTGAAAGACTGTTGTGACTAGCAATACCATGCATGCGCTCTAAATACCTCTCTAAAATATGAACTGCAGCATCTACTTGACCCAATCGGGCTTTGTTTGCTTTCGGGTCACGGCGAGCACCGGTTCCACTAACTTCGTGCCATAGGACTACTTGATGCCTTCCTTGACTGGCTCATTGTCATCTCAACAGGATTAATTGAATGGTACTTTTCTATGCTGACAGAACCTATTGAGGAGCCCCGGCAGCTCTTTGTCCCCTTCAGAAGCACTGATGGCACAATGAAAGATGGAGGTGCTTCATCGCCAAGGTGGGCTTGAGATAGGGTCACAATAAGCTTAGTGCCATGTGACGGGTCAGCAAGTAGGATTCCCGGTTTTCCGTGGATCGGAATTGGTGTGTGTAAAGTTCGCGGTTGCCCTGGTCTTGATGGCGATGCCTGGGATACTTATGATCCGGACAATGACAACCAAAGACAGATAGCAACAATGGGGGCTTGCCTTCCACAACTCTTTGCATCCCAAGCCAAGCCAAGCCACGTCGCTACCACTTCTTCCTTTCCGTGCATTTGGACTGCCGGCCAGCTCAAACCGCCCTCCCTGCGAGACAGGAACCGGACTCATACCGCTGAGCTCTGACTGCAGGAATCTCCTGCATGCCCTTGTTTACCGGCCGACTTCCACGTCTCCCAAGCGATTGCCATGGCTCTCGCTAGGCACTCTGCGACGACGTCCGATCCCTACCCCCCCCCCCCCCCCCTTCTGACTGGGGGTAAGTAGCATTGGAAGCGGCTCAACATGATACAGTAACTGGATCGAAGTGCAACGCAACTAGTGGTAGAGATGAGGATAACGTGGAAGGGGGGACGGAAGGGGACATAGGGTAAACATAGATGTATATGTCTTGTAGTAGTAATGGATTCATTGTTAAGTATATAAGGAGTGGGAAGGTGGTGCGGTGCTGTCCTTGCCGGTCACGATCCGTTACGACTGCAAGTGACCCTTATAATCATAATCAGCATGCAACCCTTGTCAATTAGAAATGTGCTTGTACTCAGTCAGTGTGATAACCGGAGCGTTGCTGATTAATTGCTTTGCGAATTGCCGCTTTCAATGTCTTGGTTAAATGCCCCCTCAGAGGCATCAAGGCACCGCCTGCCCGAGCAAGGCCAGAGAGATTTGGGTACCAGGTAGTCAAGTTGGTATAAGGATTTCAGATGTCTTGGATGTAGAATTCATAATGGGTTCATTTTTTTGAAGGGTATTTTATCTGTTTTGCTGGGTCATATCAAGACGCATACCAAATGCATACCAGATTGGTCCCTCAGGAGGGGGAAATGCGCCCAACTGTAACATCACCTTCCTGCTCGCTCATATACTGGGCCCCGATCTCCTGGTGGAGTAGTCGGTGGGCGACATCGGCCCAACAATCTGGAAAGAAATATGGATCTTCTCTAGCAGGGCGGTAAACGCTGAGCTTAACCCTTCGTGCAGGGTCTATCACAACCTCAAGCATTTTGTAGGCGAGAATTTTCGGGCCTTGGTCCTTAATAATGACGTTGACACCATCCTCTGGACGCCCCTCCGGAAGGTGAAATCGTTTCCCTTCGATAGTGATATTTTCAGCGATGAAAAGAGAGTTCACTAGATACAGCGTACAGTCGCCGCCGCTACGTTGCTCCAGCAGTGCTTGAACAGAGGGGTCCCTCATCAAGCTGGCCTGAACTACCTCCTCCCTGACCCATAGTTGGCGGAAACAATTGACATGGTGATCCCCAATGTACATCTTCGTGGCATAGAACGATAATCCATCATGAGGACGAGCCTCCGGGGGGATCTCCACGCCGGGTGCGACAGGACGGTTAACATCCCATACTGCCTGGGTCCTGATCCGCCCTGATTCAGCCGTGATGATTTGGGGAAAGCCCTCCTGCTCCTCCTGCCCCTCGACTGCCGGGATCCTGGTGAGCGGCCGATGAGGCTCGCTAGGATTCACCAAGATATTGCCGACCCGGATCAGGCCATCCGGCGCGTGATCAAGGCGTGAGACCAGCGCCCACGCGGCGGACATGTCGCGAACGATTCTTCGAGGCATAGTGAGGGATCTGAGTTGCGGTTGTGGTGAGATGTAGTATCAAGGGGTGATTTCAGGCAGCTTAAATACCCTTCCAGCGATGCAGACTGCAGCATCCCCTCCAATTTAACCAGGCTTTGTTGGGCTTGATGGTCACGACGAGGACCGGTTCCGCCAATTCCGCGTCACATTGCTGTTTGATGTCTTTCAAGCTTGGCCAGGGGAATTTTGCTTAGTGTCTTTCACTGACCCAGTTGCATTCGAGATAGAAAATGAAGGGTACTTTTCAACTCTGTTGATGACATAACTGACAACGAAAGATAGGTTGCCTCGCGAAGGAGCGAGGTGAATTAGAGATAGCTGTCTCCCGTGGATCAAGAGTGAAGTTGTATTGTTTGCGATTCCCCGGTCTTTGTGGCAATACCAGGGATGCTGTGAACAAAACAACCCCTCATGATCTGAACAATGATAATCAAGGTCAATGTTATTGCTCGTTCATTGTGTTGATCTATCGATGTAGTTCTTTATGGGATCCTTGTTTTGTCTTTAGTGCAGTCTTTGGCAGCCAGTTGTGGTGCCGACTATGCGCGGCCCTTGGAGGTCAAATCTTAGCGATCATCCTATACGAAATCTCGGGCTCTGGCAGAAGATAGCTCCTGCTCACTTACTGTGATCTTTGTCAGTTGTTGTAGCACCGCGGCGAGCAATCAGCCCCAAAAGGATCATTCGGGGACCAAATGCACAAGGGGAGTGTAGTGCTCCCTAGCTTTGATCTCCCCTGTGCCGTCCACCACAATCTCGAGCAGCTCTCAGCCGAGGACAACCGGGTGGCTCGAAGCTGGCTTCAAGCTAGGGCTGTCATCCTAAGAACATGGGTATGTGACAGGCAGGTTCCTGCTAATTTGGAGCCCAGTCAGTATAGATAACATGCTGCCGCCGGCAGTCCAGGACTCTTGTCCCAGAATATGGGTCGATTGTGGAATCACCAGGGGATGTACTGACCCGAACAAACATCAAGGAAATGCAAAAGCATCTAGAACAGAAGGAAAAGCAACTCTATCGGGCTAACAATGTTCTTCCATCCACCATCCACACAGATACCGACGAGCAGAAAAGCTCGTGGACATCTTTCATGAAATCGTGCAGCTTCCTGTGATGGCAATATGTATGGAGAAGGAGGAAGAGCTGTAGTGCGACTCACTCAGACTCTTCATCTACAGTGAAATCACCGTACCCTTTGTTCTTCTCTGTTCTAATACAAGCCCCATTCAGGCGCTCTACATGGATCAACCATCTCCAAAATCTCTTCCATGTGGCCATAAGCCAAAACCACATACTGCACCCATATCACACCTCTTCTGTTCCTCCCCAACGAACACGATTCTCCACCTCTGCCGATCTTCTGTCCCTCTTCGTAACACACGATAACATACCCAAACGATCAACTAAGATGGAGAGCATCGGCTGCCGAAACGGACTGAAGACCGACAAAGCAGAACCAGCCAGGTAGGCGACCGGAAGATGGCCTAGACTCTCCCCGTCAATCGGGGACTGGGATCAGTCTGAACCCAGCAACCTTCAAGCCAAGAGCGCAATAGACCTTCCGCTGACATGAACGTTTCGTGGCAGGGATATCTTGCTGCGTCCGGCACCCGAGGCTTGCGATATGCCTGTAACCCCTCCTCCTCCTTGTCATAAGAGCCGTTCGAGTGGACTGAACGCTGGGCATACGAAAATAGACCTCCGCTCTCATGTGGAGCCTATCCACATTCCCATCTCCAGGGAAGCTCTTGACGCAGCAAAGAAAAGCAGGACTCAAGAATGGCTCTCGTGTCTGTCCAGTCGGCTCCAAACCCTGTCTCCACAGTCCATGCGCAGAGAAACCCACGTCGTTGTGATTGACTCAGGCTGCATGAAACCCCCAGGGGAATTTCCGCAGCTTGCCGGGTATGAAGACCTGGTCAGGGGCGGGACAGTGTGCCATGATGAGAACGGACACGGGACTGAGATTGTCAGCCTCATAACGAGCCTTTCTCCTACCATCAAAGTGCAAGTAAAATGCATAGGAGATCGAGACACCGACCTTGAAGTGGGAGGTCAGTTGATAGCTGATGTATGGCTCCTCTCCCCCCCTCCCCCTCCTTTGGGCCTTCATGCAACATCGCCATACTGAATCAGCATTAGGCAATCCGACGGGCCGCTGAGGACCCTAAGAACGACATTATTTGCATGGCGTTTTACTTATCAGAAGATGATCGAATCAGTCGGGCTATAGACGAGGCTGTCAGACGCCGGAACGGACACATTCTGTTTATTGCAGCGGCGACCGCGGCGAGGTGCTCGGAGGTCAGGTTTCCTGCCAGTCATCGATATGTGATAGCCGCCCGACCGCTAGATCTAAGAGGATCGCTTTGGTCAGATCGACCGCTGGTCCGCAAGTCGCCAAGCGAGATAGTGATCGCGACACTAGGCGAGTGCGTGCCAGTCGCATCGCTTGGACATCCCGCCCAGATCAAGGGCTATAGGTCCGGCTCGTCAATAGCAGCCGCCATCCTCGTCGTCATTGCGGCCACCTCATTGGAGTGTGTCGATTCAGGTAGCGAGCTGGAAAGAAAGGAGGGGATGGAAGCTGCACTGAAAGGTCTAGCTGAAGCATGGAGGGAGGAGGCTGGGATTGAGGAACCGCCGACGAGCTTGTTGATGGTGTGGGATGCAGCTGAGTGAGCCATATCAAGTACAAGTCTATCTCTACAAGGCCGGCAACAGTTACGCAGGGTAGGAATAGAGAATGTCATAACCTAGTTGCCAGTCTCGATCTGAGTCTCGGTCTCCTCCCGCACAGATGGCAAGATCTGGAAATCATGGCCGCGCCAGTCTTCGCAGGTCATCTCGAAACAAATGGCACCACCTCCACCACCTCCACCACCTCCACCACTTCCAGTCTCTCCTTCCTCTTCCTCCCCCGCCTCACCATTGTCGGTCCTGTCGTGATGAACAGACGCAAAAGCCGCCCGGGAACGCTGGACTTGCGCTTGGATCTGCGGTTCCTGGGGCCCGGAGCCAAGAGTAACCTTGTGCAGTCGATACGCAAAGATGACATCGTTGAGGTCGGAGGCGACGTTCTTGATCCCGGAGCTAGAGGATCCCATAGATCCCATACTGCCGGTGAGATGCAGGGAGGAGGAAGGGTCGCCAGATCCGAATCCAAGATCCGTCCGGGGCGGGTTCCGAACGGTGTGCCGAAGGAATTTGGTCGCGATCATGATACCGGAGACAACGTAGAGCGGCTTGCCACAGATCAGGTAGGCAAAGGTCGACTCCGCTCGTTCCAGAACAGGCCCAAGATCAGCCCATGGGAAGTCCGGAGCCAGCTTCCGCGTCCGGACGCCCATCACGCTATGGTTCGCGAGGGCGCTGGCAGGTCTTTGGTGCCGCACTGCGAACGTCAGGGCATGGACAATTGTCGCTCCGATCCCCAAGGACAGCGGCGATCCGTCAGCGGACTCGATCCGATAGGTACCTTCGGCATCTTCGGATTCCACAGTGGGAAAGTTGGTCAGGTCTTCGGGCTTGACCCGCTGGAGGGGGGCGTCCGACGCGCAAGGATCTGCAATGACATTGCCGAGGGCAATGTCGCTCGTGTCTTCGCATGAGAATTCTGGGGCAAGTGCCCAGGTACCAGAAAGAGACATGGTTTTTTACGGAAGCGAAGAAAGCGAAGAAAAAAGAGGGGGAATGCTTGATGGTTCCAATGGCAAGGAGGGAAGTGGAGGTCGAAACACAGGTACTCATGCTCCCTTTTATCTTTCGACCCGGTAGGTGGACTCACAACGAAAACAAGCTCATCGGGGCATCTCAAGAGACAGATAGGGTCGCATTTGTGGATGTCTGCTGGAGGCATCCCGCCCTGGATGTGCAACCTGGCTTCTACTTTCTCTTCCCAACCTAAGCGCACGGGCAGGGACTACGGCAAGAGACCTGCTAGACAGCAGTCAGACCCCGCTCAGACGGCTGCACATACCCTCAGCATAACGGACTTCTACAGAATGTCACGGCGGTGGGGGATATGGCTGAGGTAGCACAGAGCACACAGACGGGAAGTTGCGGTCCCCCTCTGGAAATCTTCTCAGAGGCAAACGAAATCCTGTTGGTCTTGCAGGAAATGGTGTCAGTCAGTGAGCAGAGCTGAGCAAAGATGAATGGCAAGTTGCATCTCTCTCGTCTGGCACAGCAAAGTTGAGCTTCACGACTGCCCAAGCTGTCCATACCCTCATCACCGCTGCTGGATGGCACTGCCTAGCCTTTCCAACCAAAGTGGGATGCTTCACCGACGCAGAGATGGTATGATACACCCCCTTCCCCCCCCGCCCCCAAACGGCAGCTTACAGGCACCCCGCATGTCGACAGATCTTGAGTATGTTCCCCTCTCGACTAACAATCTGCTTTCCATTCCGGAGCAGTGCCGCTGTCACCTCGTCATTACCTTCGCTTGCGATGAGAATCTCCAAAGGGGGGGGGGGGGGGCTTGTTGTTGGAGATGAGAGTCTGAGCTAAGACCATCGCCATCAAAGGGAACCGGAAGTGATCAAGGCAGATCTCAGTGAGCTTCTGGTCTCTTTGAGACCCAAGAGGTCTGCAGAGCTTTCAGACAAGTTTCTCTCTCTCTCTCTCTCTTTTCATCTGTGGCCCGATGTTTCCATTACCCTCCATGAATGATATTCCGAGGCTAATGATATCGTGCTGTGGCATAGGTCTTTCAACGCCTCTTTCACTCACTCTCTGTCAAGATGTTCTGTAATCAACCGCCGACCATGGAAACAATCAATCATTACGGTCGCAATCTCCTCGTCGAAGCCGGCCAGAATCTCCAGGATGTTTTGTTTCGTGGCGGACAAGACAACAACCCCCGTGCGCTGGAAGGATTCCTTCCTACCTGCACCAACTTCGCCATCCCCAGGGAGATTGATTACATTCGGGTTGGGGATCACGGCAAAGCCTTTATCGAGCGGCGCGCATCAGCTGGAGGCGGTTACTTCATATCAGAGCGAAGGTTCACCGCGTTCATTCTTGACGATCTTGTGAAACTACCAGACCTACTACGTCACTTGGCAGAGCATGCTTCGATGGACAACGATGAGATTGATGAGATTGTTTTCACCAATGCAAACTTCCCCGGTCGGACTATCTTGGTAGAAGGAGACAAAAACACGGCCATTCACGACTGGAAGATAATGGCCTTTCTGTCTCGTCTGCTGCGCCTCTAATCGTTTGGGGGATGACTTCTATCTGGCCCCACTCGCCACATACTCCGCCCAGACCTGTTTGATGTCATTCTTGTAAATCCAGTCTAACGAATCCGCTCCGGTGCCTCCGAACGATGCGACGCGGGCCCTGATGACGGTGTCGAAGTCCCCATTCAGCGCTCGAGCCTTCTTCGCCTCGCTCGCCTTCCGATCGAGATAGTCATACCTGCGAAGACCATTATGTCAGCCACATTTCCCTCTTTCGAGACCAGGCAGAGGATAGAAAAGTTACGTGCATCCGTTCATAGTACGGCGCCCGGATCCGTTGGAAGATCTCGAGTGCATCCTTGATCGTTGTGTTCGAGGTGATGGTATGCTCGATTGCCCGGGCCAGAATCCATCCATCCTCCATCGCAAACGCGGCCCCCGACCCAAAGGCACCGGACAGCGGGTGGCTGGCATCCCCGATCAAAGCCACTTTATCCCAGCCCTGGATCTCCGGCAGACACGGGCCAGCGGCCATGGCGAATTCTCGCCAGTCCCCTTCCGGGACCACATCCAAGACGGCCTGGATCCGAGGATCATACTCCTGTGTTTCAGCCTCTGGTGAGTTCACGCCGCTGGAGCGAGTACGCGAGAGGGTCCGGGGATATATCTGTACGCACCCCACACCGAGCGCGGACGCGGTCGTTGGTCGATGGAATGGCCCAGGTTGCGGTTCGGCCGGGCACCTCCGGCTCGTCGAAGGACCGGACGGTGATCTCGCACAGCTCACGGTCGGGCTCGTCGTCCACATGCGAGAAGTAGAAGTAGCCGTTGAGGCCATGCCACCATCCGGTGGAGGTGGGAAACTCGGCGACATGGCGGATGGAGGCGACTGGCACCAGCACCCGCCAAGCGGTGACTCCTGGGAGGTTGGCTTCTGTTTAGCCAGGCCCATGTGGCGTCGTTGCAAGTCCTGACTGCACTGTTCCCACTCCAGGCGAGTCACTCACCAGTGAAATGTAAATGGTGGTCGGGAAACAATGTCTGTCGAACGACCTATTAGGGCACTGTCAGTGGGAATTCCACCTTTCCTTGGACTGGTCAGTCTCACCGAACGAATCCCATCAGCCCCGACCACTAAGTCCGCGCTCGCTACGGTCGCATCTTGGAACTGCAAACGAACCCCGTCCTCCCCGCCAAGATCCGTCAGAGAAACCAGCTTCTTGTTGAAGCGGATGGTGTTGGCAGGCACCCTGGCGAGCAAGGCGGCTTGCAGGCGGGTTCTCCGAGCCCTAATGGATTCATACTTGGCCTCCTCGGGACTGAGGGATGGAGGCTTCGTTGCGCGTGGAACGATCGATTCTCCCGTGCGACCATTTCTGCGAGCTCGGTTTCAGCCATCACGTAGGAAGGCGTTAGGGCCAGGAGCAAGGAGGCGCGCACCCACCGTTGGAAGGGGGTTTGTTTCTTTGCCCCCTTGACCCCGTCGGCCGCGCCCAGCAACTCCAGCACATTCCAGCCATTGCGGCCGATACTGATGCCTGCTCCGACCTCCCGAGGCTCGGGGGCTCGTTCGTAGACGGTGACGGAGACGTAGGGGAGCTCCGACAGGGCAATGGCGGTCGCTAATCCCCCTGGCCCGGCCCCGACGATGGCCACGTTGAGGTGTTTCCGGGCTACCATGTTGAGTTGGGTGTTCTCGAGCTGGGCAGGCGTTGGTTTAGTCCGTATCGATGGCCCTCCTGGTGTATTTAATCGCCGCTGACGGTTGGGGGCTTATCACCGAAGCCCCGCTTGCAGGCAAAGATTCGCCATCCCTCGGCCGTATGAGGAATGTCTTATCAGTGGTCAATCACGCATGCACCACTGCGGACGCTCATGACGCCATTCGTAGTCGGATGAGTGCTGTAGTTGGATGCAAAGCCTTCTTCGCAGCCCTTAGGTGAGTCCCAGACTAGGGAATTGCAGTTTTAGGATTAATCTTGCATCGTATGTGTTCAGCGGTGCCTGCATAGCCCACCTGACAATGTCGACTACCTAGACAGATCGCCTCGATAAGTAGTTAGCCTTGTTAATTTAAACGTGACAAATGTCCATAAGTACCGTACATGCGAGTCTTGTGTATCACCATAAGCAACGTTCTTGTTTGTGCGACACTAGA